GTATTTCAAAATTAATCAAGGATTGCAGATAAATACCAATTTTTTATATTTTTTAGAGAATATTTTAAATTTATCGAACCTTAGCTAAAAAATAATAAAAATAATCATCTAGGGACTGGAGTGTGCAGAGCTGCTTGAAAAATGGGCAGACGGGGTAAAATGGGCAGATACTTGGTTCGTGGGGAAATCGTTAAATATCACTATTTCCATCATGCAACCCTTATTACTATCTTATTTCATGACGATGTAACATCTAATTCTTTTTTTATAAAACCATCAACTGGTGAAATATAAACAAAAAATGAGACGCCATTCTCAAAATGCGATCTGGTTTTATTTTTACAATGTCGAACATGAGAATTACACAAACAAAAAGAGTACGAACTGTTATAACCATCACCCATTTTCCAAAATGTAGGTCTTGAGCAATAAATTCACAACAAAAGATGTCAATAACTGGGTTCCTTAGGAGTATTTAGGTAAATGCATATTCGTAATCTGCATTAAAAATGGAACCTAAATTCAACATTTCATCAATTTTGGTTCACTGGAACTGTTTTAAATAAGTGCGATTACATTAGCAAAAATCACAATCATAGTGCCCCTCAGTGAGATTTTGTACGGGAGCGAGCAGACAATTTGTGACTTTAGTGTCAAACAGTGAATTTATTATTTTGCTTTAAATCTATATTTAAAAATCGAGATGAAAGTCTATAGGATCGAAAAACATATCATTGCCCTCAAAAAACGAAACTCTTTCAGAGTATGCATAATAACCGATGTATTTTTCAAAATAAAAGACCCCAATAGAGTTCTCTACCACACAGCAAAAAAATAATTTTGATATCACATCAAAGTGGTTGCACTACAATCATGTCGAAAATTTCATGTAATTTTTATGACCACATAAATAAACAAATGCAGTAAAAGCAGCGTAATGTCAGTTCATGCATTGTATTAATGATAATTTTGTCCTTTTTAGCAAGTAATATTACACCATATTTTCGACATGATTGTAGTGCATCCACTTTGACGTGATATCAAAATTATTTTTTTGCTGTGCACCGTTAGTATTAGTGAGCAGTTTCACTAATATAAGTGTTGTACTGGTTGAAAATTAAAAAAACAAACCGCTGTCAAGTCGAACACTTTGATAACTGATTTCATGCTTAAAAATAATAAACAAATCTATTTTACACGGCTACACTAGCAATATTGTATTAGTGCAATCTTGCGACAAGAAGTCAACTGGATTAAAATTATTCAACTTCAAACATTTTAAAAACATGCTGACCATTAAGGTAAAACGGACAGGACAATTCTTGCAAATGTGATGATGTTGCAGTGTTCGAAAAATCAGTGAGAATAAACTCGCACGCCTATCTACGAACCAAAACTCACGCTTCAGATACTTATGCGTTTTCACGTACTCAAACGTGCTCATAAGGGTGGGTCAAGTTTGTATGGTGGACAGTACTGATAAAAGTCATTTTGTCTACACTCAACTTAGCTGAAAATGAAGACAACCTTAACAGATAGACCTTGATTCTTTTGAGTATCGAAGTCATCATTTATGTTTGTCCATCCAGCCACGAAGGATCGTCATTATCGCCTGTGATGTTTCCAATATTAATATTTGTCTTCATCTTGGTGGGGATGATTTTGAGGATCAATTGCAAAATGATTATTTTCATTTTACATAAATATAGAACTGTAGAACATGTTGTGTTGGTTTTTACACACAGATCGATGAACAATTATTGCCTCATGCTGAATTGATGATAATATCGAGGTTTTAGACTCTGGGGTCAACAATATTCAAAATAATCATTTTGCCCAAAATGAAATTGATTATTTTGCTTTTGAGGATCGATTGTGATAAATAAAATTTTGGATTGGATAATCAAGCACTGGTGAATATCAACAAATGCTTATACACTGATGTATAATGAACTCATTTGGTCATTTCGCTCGTACGTGACAGCGAATATTTTCAAAACAAACTCAATTCATCCACACTGGGTAGAAGCGCTATGGTAAATGATAAAAACAGACACTGATTGTGGATCACAACCCCCTGCTTCCCACTACTCTTTCTATCTGTATTAAGTGCCCTAACAACGGTGACAAAGTTGTTCTGCATTTTTTTTCCAATCTAAGTCCAAGGTTTGGGAAAAATTGAACATTTTTTTTATTTTTTTACAAGCAAATGAATAGTTTTATTCCATTTCCCATACATTTTCGCATTCAAAATTTGAAATTCTCCCACAAATAAAGATCATAACCAAAATCGATCAAATTTGGCACAGTTGTTGGGGACTTCAATACAGATCGAAAGAGGGAAGCTGGGGATTGTAAAGTTGACCCACCCTAATGCTCTTGCATAATTTGTTAGTTTTTCATCGAATAATTGACGAAATTGAGTCAACTCGGTCCGACCGTTCTGTCATAGTTCCAAGTATTTTGAATGTGCTTCTAAACTTTCCAAGTTGAGCTCCAATTCAGAAGGACTGACCTACATTACCAGTTGGTACGCCAGTTTTGAAGAGTTAAAAAGCTGATTAATTACTGAAAGACCTGATCGGTTTTGACTTTCCATTGTATAAAGTTTCAATTCAAATTGTTTCAAAGAGATTAGAGAGTTGCAAAGTATGTTTTGCACTTGTGTACGTTCTACAATGTAATTTTCATTCACGGAAATTTCCCACGGAGTCTTTGTATGAATAATTTAAAAACAAAAAAAATTGTTCTCCATAAATCTCCAGTATTTGAAAGAGAGGACTATTTTCGTCATGTTGAGACTACTACCGAAATGTTTCATTGGGTGTTCCTGAATATATTTTTCTTTTGTTTTTTAAATTTATCTTTACAGATTAACAGAAAAGTAATGCATAAAACCAAACGCTCAAATAGACCCATATTGTGGTTAAAAAAAGCCTCCGATGAAACATTTCAGTAGTGGTCTCAAAATTATGGGAATCAGCAAAATCTCGAAAATCTCGAATATTCGGTGATATTCAAAATTCTTCTTTGGTCACTCATTTGAGTCATCGTCAAGGCAAACCATGTCAATTGTCAGTGACGAACATGTGCAGATTTTCTAATTAGCTAAAATTGTAATGAAATTAAATGACTTGAGCAAAATTATTACATGGAGCCGTTAAAGTGAACAAGCATCTTCGTCCTGAACAGAATACGAAATTACACTTTTTTTACCAGGTGAATCTTTGTCTTTGACGAAAAAATTAATGAGATTTTGACAAAGATTTTTTTGAAGATCCATGATTGTGGCAAATGACAATGGCAAAACTCAGCACTGATGGGAATAGTCCTCTCATAGAATTTGTGCTTTTTTGAGCATATTATTTTAAACTTTACAAAAACCTATTTCCACAAGTAACCCGTTTACTCTTACATAACAATAATAAAAAAAATAGAATGGTTTTCTAAAAATACTTCTACCTAGCGCTTTTTTTGCTGCAATAATTGATTCAAACTGTATTCTGTTTTGTTAATAGCTCGGCTGGTTTAAAAATATCTAGGACCGTTTGTTGTTCTTTTTGCCCACCAACCTTAAGATTACTGTAAAAACACTTTGCAAAAATCTTGGATTTTTTTGCAACTAACTGTTAATTCAAAGAGAAAAGCTATATAGAGAATCGATTATCGCAGTTAAGTCCTTATATTTCTGAACGCTAGGCATGTGTGGTAGGCTGGATCGTGGATGCAACGTATATTCGTTATGATTCAAGTTACACTGTAGTTGTGGATGCTTTACTAACTATAAATTAGGATTTTGTATAATTGATTGAGAAAATAAAATGATGATAATTTGATATCAAGTCGACGTTATGTAAATGGGACCTGATTCTCAGTTTTGATTTTAAAATGTTTTGGGGCCCCTCTGGCCAACCCCGTAGATCCTAGGGTAGGCCTGTAATTTCACCTCGCTGATCAATTTGATCCCGTTTAACGGCACCCTGAGGCTGACGAGCGTCTCGTATGATAAATTTTAAAATTTAGTTTAAACCAAAGTATTTCCCCCGACCTACATATGTTTCGGTCACAGAACACTTCCATTTGCATTACATATTTGTTTACGTTTCATCCTTTACGTCAAAGTTGCATTCCGTCACATGTAAGATCAGTTTTCTTGTAATCGTATGAGCAATGATTGATCCTTAGATCGTCTGTTGGCATGTCATTCCAATTCAAGAGGAAATCAAGTTTTTTTTTTATGTAGGAAAATAAGCTTCTTTTCGTTTATTAAAGCTTGTAAATTGTTTTTTCCTAATCGGATTCTTCCATTTCAATATAGCCGTTGAAATTCATCTGCTTTTGTTTGCAGTGCTGGTTAAGTTTTTTCATCGTTGCATAGCTTGATTCTCGCAATCGCACCCACTTTGAACTAATTAAATATCCGTGACGAAAGACATCTTTGACGTAAAGAATGAAACGTAAATCCCGTTTCCCTACTTACTCAAATGCAAAACATGGAATGAAATTCGATGTTTTCTGCTAGCCGTAAATGGGTTTATTTCGAAAATTGCTAGCAAACAAATCTATTGTTCACAGCACTGTGCATTTTTTAAGGGCACCATTATAAACCATTACAACACAGGCACTGTAAAAAAAAATATTTCAGTAAATATGCCTCCTGAACCACTATGTACCACTTAAGGCAATGTTATCTCAACTCGAAAACATCGACACACCACGCTTACATAACATCGAACTTTATGTTCCACCAGAATGACACTCGACTATTTTTTTTTATTCCAGCCGGTATCAAAATTCACTAACACGGGCATCTTTGAGATGCCCGTCATTGTTTATCATTGTCTTCCTGCATCCAAATTTAGTCCCTCACAACACGATTCACGTGAATTCGATGCTCATATACAGTCTCTTTAACTTGCGTTTTCCCATTCAATATAGATATAGGTCCCAAAGTGTCGCATTCATCAAGACATACTGTAATATAGGCGATTTGAACCCACCTAAAATGTCCTGTGTGATATGCAACTATTGCCCTCGCTCGCAGCACCGCCTCGGAACGATCCAGTTCCGAGATGTTCGGGTGGGCTACCGGTAGGCTCCATAGAAACCGCGCCAGCCGTTCAATATCCCCGGATTCCTCCAGTGTCTCGCAGACTGTCGCAACTTGCGACGCCGTAAAGTTCAATGTTGGTAAGGCAAACAGTGGACTAGGTGCTAAGATCGGATGTGGCTGGACTGGCGCTTGCGGAGGATTTCCTGATCCTCCCGTCGGTGGCCCAACGGCCATTGATGGTTGTCTAACCACCGCCAGATTGTTCGTGTTTGGTGCAATTTTGAATCAATGGTGGCGTTGTTGTATTTCACTCTAAATTTTCGCAAATACTAACACTTTCCTCGAATCACTCTTAAACGTACACTTGAGGTATAATTCTAGGCATATCTCTTTTCACTTCCGATGACACTGTTTCAACCAAAAACCGGTACTTTGCTAATTTTCTTCCTCAGTACTCGCCGGAAAGAGTACGTTAATCCAATAGAACGTATATTTTCACATCGCCAAAATTAGCACCCTCCTGTATGTTTCTTCAATTCATTGAACGGAATTCAACCAATCAAATCGCACATATTTTCAATCATATAATCAAACATAATCTCTTATCACCGCGCCATCCTAGTATGCCGGAACCACACAACCCGTTACAATCCATCCGCCACGGTTACATTCCGGAAAACACTCGCGATATCTTCCAACTAACCGCACGATACTACTGTGAACCACGACGGCAAAACGTAAATTGCTGCGCCCGATATGCGACGGTAAGTTGTGTCATTCGCGAGAAAGCTCAACGGTTCTAGACCCGCACTGGTAAACAACCTCTTTTCACCCGCAACAGTTGTGCAAACCAACAACAGAAAAAAAAAATCTCCGTACTCCTCGCGCGAAACCTCTAATAGCGCATATTTATTTTGACACGTCTCAGCAGCAGCGTGTATCATCTATCGCGTATGGATTTTGTAAAGCTACTGATATCTTATTTGATTTTCAATACATAATCCCTCTCGTTACAAAGAGCAAGGCGCGTTCTCTGGTCGTTTCTGATTAGCTAAGAGAACACCAATCATCGTAAAAAAGGGGCGTTGATCTTTTTTACGATTTTTATTTTGAATGGCATGCGCAACGATTTCACCAACACCGACATGCGAAGAGGGGACGAGAGTCCACCAATACCAAGCGAATTCCGGCCTGTGTGAGTGCCGGGGCCAAGTAAACGCTTGTAAACCAAAGCACAATATGTTCGTGCCGAAGGTATGTGTATAGGTAACGTTCCGAACTGGTTTCAAGTACAAAGTAAAAGTATCATGTTCACTGCTGCTTTGGTTATATATCCCATGCTCTTTGTCTGCGATGATCTTTTCTGTACATAACTTTTCCTACTACTGTTCAACATTATACGAAGGGAAATAATATGAATACATGTGAAACAGATAATTTTCTCTTTTCCCTAACCTTTTGCTACAAAAAAGAATGTGTATAATTTCTATTTGTACGCGTATATATTTCAACTGTAGAGGAATTCTGCTATTGAGAAGCTATATGAGAAGCCAGCAGCTGAGCTGAGCTGAGCAGAGCAGAGCTATATCCATATACACAAGCAAGCGTACGTGAAAAGATGTGCATGTTTGTGAGTGAGGAGTGGAGTGGGGTGGAGTAGTGGAGTCATTTTGCCCCCAGAGTGGTGCGATAGTGAGAGCTATAGCGATGGCTGACTTTGAAACCCCTCTACTCTGGAGATTGTTCAACACCCACCTCCAAGCACGATCTCAATCCAATCCAAGCCATTGTGCCCCGGTGGTGGGATGAGGCTTAAGCGCGTATGCACTATATTAGGTGAACGCTGGAATAAGCCATGATTCGTAGCATACGTTCCGGCCGGCCCGGCCGGTTACGATTGGGGGTTTGGGTTGGCTTGAGACTCCCTCCCACCCACACTCTGAGCCACGACCACACCACAGGGATCCAATTACATGTTTCACGTATCGAAAACACGTTTGTGGTACTATTTGCCAGGATGTCGTCGTTTGGTCGCTTCGTCTCGGGTCACAAATGGTCGTACGAGTACGGTGTCACCGTTGTCATGCCGTCGGAATAAAATGGAATTATTGTCACCAAGCCAAAGGTGTGTATATCACAGCTGGGATGAAGTGTAATTATCGATATCATTTGGGCCGTACTCATGTATCTCCGTCAATGTGGCTACATTTTGGTGATGATTCCGTCGTTTAGCATACGGAATTATATTGATTATAACTGAGTAGAATAGGTAATATCAATGCGAAACATAATAAAAAAAATTTAAATCCATTCATTTCAGGGCATCGCAAAACAGGATCAATTTGATCATTTTCTTAATGAATGTTGTTTAAATATATCAAAAGTTGCAAAGTAGGCTGTATTGCATCATCATCGATCAAAAAAATCAATCGAATAAAATAAGGGGATCAGAAAAATATATACATAGGTATTCAGTATTTTTCACTCGGATAAAATAAGCGCTGAGTGAGTTCTTATTTAAGATACGCGATAAAAAATATTTCGAAAAATGTATCGTGATCAGCTACGAAGTGTGGGAAAAGTATTCTGTGCAAAAACGTTATCGTTAACGTATCTGGAGTAAAGACCATCCAACCGGGAAATGTACGATTGCATTACTGATTTCTAAGAAAGATGTACAGAATGTAATGGTAATGATTCACCGCATGGGCAGATCCCATAAAGTTGTCGTGGGAAGGCTTTTTACATAATTTTGTCAAATCTAACGTTTTAGTATGGCTAGATAAGGTGCAGAATGCTTTAAATAAAACAGCAAAAAAGCTTAGTGGAATTAAATGGTAGATAAGCTTTTTGCTGTTTTATTTAAAGCATTCCGCTTACAACCCAATTTCATTACTTCATTATGATGGATGGGATTTTTTTCTAATTAGAGATTTGAATAGATTTTTCTCCTTTAGTTTACTTAAATCTTTGATTTTTTAGTTAGGTAGGTTCCAATTCTTACATATATAGTTTATATTGATCGTGAAAAAATTGATTTTATTAAGTTAGGATAGCTTAGCTCCTATTTGCTGTTATAAAAAACAATTCTATTGTTCTATTTATATTATGCATTTTTTTAACGGGTACCCAACGCTATTTCTGCGTTGATCTCCAACTAATTAAACTGATTTTAGAAATAAGAGTGTATCGTTCACAATTTAAACTTGATCCTATGTACTTATTTCCATTTGTCCCATGGGGTGCAAAAATGTGGGGCGTATTGAAATGCTGCGGAAAAACATGTTTGTGACCAGATATTCAATATCATCACTAACTAGCCAAAGTATGCTTACTTAGTGTACAAAACTGGCTAAAATATGGAATATTCAACATTTTTAAGAAGATTGTAACGTTGCGAAAAACATGATTGTTGTAAATTTCATAATTTATGAAAATAAACAAAGCTGAGGGGTACGCTAAATTATTTTTAACTATCCGTTTAACAGTCAAGAGATGCGTTTGGGTATATATTATACTGTTGAAAATCTTTTTTCCTTTATTTAATGTCGGTCTCTGTTCCGCAATATGCGTATGCGTAGGATATTGCACCCATTCAACACACTTGGGCCCGGACCAACGGCTTTACTTCCATTCCGAAGGAAGACGTGACCAGAGATTTTTATGCCTCAGCAAAATCCCACCGACCTCGGCTGGGATTGAAACCAGACCCATTGGGGTAAGAAAGCAGTCACGCTTACCACTACACCACCAGCACCGGCACTGTTAAAAATAAACACAGTGATTATCCACTTCAGCTAATAGTTACGCTTTGCGTTTCAACTAACCCCGCATTTCAACTTGCCCCGGGTTACCTTAATTAAAAACTTTGCTGACGATATCTCTAACTGTGTTCAAAGAGTTTACCAGTTTTCTCATTTTACACATATTTTGGAGGGATAATTTAGAAAATAAACGTGCAATGTGATAGGATGCATCTATGTTTAGTAAAACAATTGGATAAAATATCGTATTCTTTTAATTTTATGACCAAAATCTGAGTAGGACTGACTTGCGATTACATTTAACTTCAATGAGAAAAATAACCGCAAGTCAGTCACAATGCCATGATATGCTGCAGTAGTATAGCATAGTATTATATAGTAGAAAAATACCATGGTCCCATAGAACGTCATTGAATGTTTTAGGAATCGTTTCGCTGGTTCCAGAGCTATGGCCGAAACATACTGAGACCAGAAATTTTCAAAACCATGCCAAACTCGCCATGCGATAAATCAGTTCACATTAGAATTCGAAAAGAAGATCAATAAGAGTAATGATGACTAACCAACACTATGTTGGGCACACCCGAACACGTTTAACTGTCATTTTAATGTTGACTATTGTAATCAATATTCATGTAAAAATGATTATGATGCTCTATGAAATGCATTTGACAATGTTTGATGCGGCTAACAATCAACCTTAAAAAAAATCGCATGCGCAGAGAAGCTAGAATTTTCCTAGAAATTCTTGATTTTTATCGATCCCCCTCCTTGTGCTAAAGGTTTAAATTATTATTTCAATCCCAGCTGTGCGTTGTTATCTTTGCTATGCGTACCAAACAATCCTGTCTCCTGCATGTGTTTTGACCGTACTATTTGTTAGTGGAGCTGGTGATAAAATATTTATTCAATCAAAATGTTTTGTTACTTCATACGTAAAATGCTGTACTAATATTAACATGAAGCTTTAGTGCGATAATTTATAAGCTAGAGAAAGTTTAAAGAGGATAGCTTGATAGTTAGAGCACGACTTGAACAGAAGTTGAAATTGAGCAATAAACAGAAGTTGAAATTGATGCGACAATACTAATCAAATTCGCACTCTTTTACATAACTAACTCGAAGGGTGAGGGGTTTTGAGGTATTTCCTCAAATCCACAGGCAAAAGAGTGCACATTTGACTTGTTCATATAGGGTTTTTGATCTAATTTCCGTCCTACTAAGCGCAACCCGCGCTTTAACTCTGAACGAGTTTAAACTAAAAATGGAATATTTCTGTTAAAGATGGCTTCTAAATTTATTCACCTTTCCATTGGATTTGATAAAGAGTCACATGTTGTTGAGATATTGTTTAAAATCTAATACTACTTCTTGATTCTAAATTCGTTCTACGAGCTTCAATTCCGTCCAAACCCATTGAAACGCCATTAGATTTTCTTCGTCCTACGGATAAACGTAAAAAAAGGGATTCGCTAGGAGCGCTTCTTTTGTTTTGAGAACAATGAGCGTAAATATTGATACAATGCGCTCTAACAGGATTTATCTTGTAGCTAATGAACTAACGCATGGGAACAAACCTATTATTGATTTGTGTACGGTGAAATCATTGATATGATTGATCTTTTCTTATCGATAGAACGGAAATGGGCGATTACGACGAAGTAGCGCTCTACCCTACTGTCTGCCGATCCGGAATAGTTTTAGCGACGTTTATGATTACCTCTAATATGTCCTATTTAGAACTTTCTCTAACTAACAAATTATCGCACTAAAGCATCATTTTGATATTAGTGTAGCATTTCCTCTGATTAATTGGTTTAGGTTGAATTTAAAAAGACAGTCCAAGATGCATTTGGGGTTGAAATTCCCGATGCAGTTTTTCACAGGTTCTTCATTCTCAACAGGATGTGTTAACTCCGCTTTTCTGCACACAAAATCACAAGTCTGCCGGTTTGGATACACCGTATGAAAAATTCATGTAAATTTCTGCGCACACACGGAATGGAGCGAAAGTTTACCGCCCAAAACAAAATCGGCATGTTTTTACTTTTCCATAAATATTTAAAAAAAAAAACCATAAATAATCTAAGAAAATTAGTATTTCCATAGATTTCTGAGAAAATTTACACGTAAAAATATTTTTCCATATTTTTCCAATATAATTTCCATTTTTTTTTTTCATGGTGAGAT